CTTCTTCCCCATCCCCTATCATCCAGTTCCCTACCTCCTTCACAGCTTTATCTATAACCTAACCTGATTTCTGAATATTCTCCTACGTGTGCATTGTTGTACAGAGGTAACGCGTGGTTACTGTGATGCTAAACACCGTGACACTGATGTGTCAAATGTGATAATGCTTACTCATGGTGGACAGTGTTTGGTGGAGCTCCCCGACTAAAAGAAGCCTGGAAGCAGGAGTGACATTCACTTCTGAAATGGCTTGCCTCCAGAAACCCTATGAACAGTGCTCAGGTCTTTCGTTCATAGGGTGGCTATGAGTCGTCTATGATGCGACGGCACTTAACAACAACAGCCACCTTCTTCACAGCTTTACTTTATCTATAAGCTAACCTGATTTCTGAATATTTGATTTGCTTATCAAGTACCCCTATGCTTGACTGTTAAGTTCAATGAATGTAGATTTCCCCACTTTTCCCTTATTGCTCAATTCCCCTTATTCAGAACATATTAGAAACTCAATAAATATTTTTGAGTGAATGAATGAACCCTCTGGTGGGTTCACTGAGACCTTCTCCTAAGATCAGAACATTTCAACTCAATGTTTTCTTTAGGAACTAAAGTAGGGATGGACTGAGAGAGGCAGGCAGGATTCTGAAATACACCTTCCAGGCCTCCATGTAGCTTTGAGTCATGTGCATTTGATTTGAATTGCACCTCCTACACTTGACAGTTGAAAGATCTGTTCAACTAGATCTGAGCTTCAATTTCTTCATCTGCAAAATGGGGATAATAATGCTATTTGGGACCTTCACAGTTTCTAAGAGGATTTAATGGGTAAGCATATATAAGGTACTTAACAGTGCCTGACGTTGATTTGCCATTGAGCCAGTTCTGACTCATGATGACCCTATGTGCTAGATGGTCAGAAATATGAATTTGTCTCTTCTTCGTAAGGACAATTAGCTAACAAAGCAGTGACACTAAAACTGGGGAAAACTGGTCAAAGCAGATTCTAGGGGAGTATGTAGAAGGAAGATTATGAGAAGCAGAGGAGAGCCAATCAAGATGAAAAGCTCTGCTGGCTTGGGACCAGCCTCTATTTCTGGTCTTTTGTGAAAGGATCTTTTTTATCAATGCCACATAACAGGGAGATGAAAGATTTAGTCTTTACAATCTTCTGCCATGCTCCATTCACTACTATTCCAACATTCTATCTCTTGGGTTGGCACGTGACTCAGAACAAATTTATCCCAGGAAAATATGTTCTCTATTATCCAAAAGGAGCTGACTACATAAAATCAAGCCTAAGCCAACTAAATTTTCAAAGAAAATGTGCCTCAGAATGAATTATGGGATGAATCTTAAAGTAAAATGATTTCTAGATGACTTATGTATCTAGTGGTGGGTTGTAATCACTCAAACAATGTGGAGACTCGCTTTCTTACTTAACTGAGAACCAATGGAGGAAGGAATAGAATTCTCTAACACGGCCCATATGTTGATCCCTGGTAGCTCTGACAGATGCAATATCTTGTTATACTTTCTCTGCCTTCTGACGTCTCCCCTGCTACCTTAATTTTAAGAAAGAAATGTATTGTTACTGTCATTTTCCTTTAGATAACTTCCCTGAGCACCCAGAGACCCACAGAATCTAATCTGAAAACTTAGCAAGAGCAGTTGAAGAACTGTAAACATTTGCTGAGAAGGATGAGCTTGTTACCACTATTTTTGCTTCTTAATTGTTTTCATGGATGGAATTAATTATATAACAGCCAATCACAATAACTGTATCTGCACTATTATTACAGGGTGTTAGAAATACGTACTGGAGCTGGTGGAGTTGAGGGAGGTGGTGGTGATGGTAGTAGTGAAGGTGGTGGAGGCCATGGTGGTGGTGGTGTGTGGACAGTGCTGTCATGATGGAAGAGACGATGGAAGAGTCAGTGGTAGTGGTGGTAGACTAGGAAGTGCTGGAGATAATGATGGTGATGTGGACTCTGATCGTGGTAGTAATTAGGTGAAGGCAGTTGTAGGTCCAAGAGAAGATAATGGGAGGATGGAATAGGTAGTGAAAAAATGGAGGCAGTGACAGTGGGGACAGTAAGGTGGTCATAAGGAGCTGGTGGTGGTACAGGTGATGGTGCAGGTCTTGGTGGTAGTGGTGGTTGTCATGTACCGTCAAGACACAACCTAACCATAGTTGACCTCCAGTGGGTTTCCAGGGACAGGAAATCATGCAAGAGGAGACTGACCATCTTTCTCTGGTGGAATAGATGGTAGACTCAAACTATGTGCCTTTGGGTTAACAGCACAACTCCTAAATACTAGGCCACCAAGCCTCCCCTTGTTGGTGGTGATAGGAGGAAGCAATTGTGGTAAAAAGATGGTGGTAAGGAATTGAAAATATATGTCCAAATAAAAATATTTCTGGAAGCAAGGGTGGCATCCACTTCCTAAACAACATGCCTCTGGAAACTCCATAAACTTTGATAAATGTTGATAGAAAGGCTTCAGGCCTTTTGTTCATAGGGTTGCTATGAGTCGTGCTTGACTCGAGGGCAATCAACAACATCAACAACAAATAAAAACTTGTATAGGAATATTCATTGTATTATTTCTCACAGCCTAAAAGGAGAAGCAACCCAAATGCTCTTCAACTGATGAAGGGTGCTGTATATCCAAGTGGACATTATTCAGTCATAAAAGTTCAGATGAAAGCTAAAACATGGAATTGTGAAATCATCTTACTAAACGAAAGAAGTCAGTGAAAAAACCCTCACATTTTGCATGATTCTACTTACATGGCATATGAAAAATGTAAGAGAGATTATTGTGATAACAATAGAAATTTAGGTAGGGACTCTACATTTTGTGTTAAATTATATTTATGTTTAAATTCTTGCATGTGTATAATGATGGTGCCAATATTTTGCAAGATGATTATTTTATAAAATTCATACTGAAGTATTTAGGAGTGGAATTTTAAAATGTGAGTGACTTATTTTTAAGAAGTTCAAAGGGAAAGGAGAAAGAAATGTGGCAAAATGTTAGTGGTTGATAAGTCTAGGTGATAAAGGTGGTGTCAGGGAAGGTGGTCGTGAAACAACGGAGGAGGCTGTGGTGGTGAGGGCCATAGTCAGTGGAGGTGGGGTGGAGATTGTAGAAATATCCAGAATATGCAAACCAAATATCCAGAATTGCAAACCCAGATCTCAACTGCCATTGGAATCATGTCCAAAAGAGACAGACATCTTAGGGGTTTTCCACACAGAATTCTCAGCATAAAGAATTACCTTCTTAAAATTAGTACAACAGAGGAGGCTGGTATTACATGGGGAATTACGTCCTCTCAGATATATATTGTAAATCCTTACCTCCGTGCCTGAGGCTATGATCCCATTTGGGAATAAGCTATATTTCTGATGTTAACAGGGTAAGACTAGTGCAGGGTGTGCTTTGAGTCCATTTCTTCTGAGATAAAAAAAGAAATTGAACAAGTGAATAGAGCAGAGAGAGAGAGATGCCAAATTAGTGCCTTTTGCCCTACATAACAGAAGCTAAAAGGGGCAAAGACTGTATCCTAGAGATGCCACCAGAGTTGACATCCTAAATTGGAACTATTGGCCTCATAAATGAAAAGAAAATACATTTTGTTTGTTAAAACCATGCAAGGGGCTCTTTCAGTGGGAATGCAAAAATCAGATGGTGTCCAACGAAGAAATGAAAGCAGACATCTGGGATCTATAATTTTTAATAATTTTAAACTAGCTACAAAATGTCAATCACTTCACAAACTGACAGAGGAGACAGGAGGAATTTAATATTACATGCTATAATGCTATTTATCTCACAGTTTATCTATATTTCATTCATTTATATTATTTTTTAAAGGTTTCTTTATCAGCTACTAAACATCTCAGCAATTTGGTGTGCATAGCTCTAGATTAAGCAACAGAGAATTGTACTGATAACAAACCACAGGGGAAATGGCAATTAGGAAGAGTCTGTCTTATAAAATTTACAATCTCCACACTGTTTCACAACAAGATCGCCTAGTCCAAAATGTAGCCTTCAAAGGCAGCAAACAAATCTTATATTACATCCATTTGACATAGTTTCAGTCAAAGGTATATTTTGCTGGAAATGATTTTGGTGAGTATGTCAAATCCATCTTTTTTTTAAAATGTCTTTTTTTAAAAAAAAAAAGGATGATGGTGGTCGATAAGTATCGTAACAGGAAAAAAAAGTGACACTACTGCAATTTTGCTGGTATAACTTAATCTGGACAGTGTCTCAATACTGAGCATGCTTTGCTTTGCTGTTGGTTTGCTGTTGTTGCTATTATGGTGTGAGTGTGTGTTGTCTCATCCGTAAGCTACTGTCATGGAAAGTTTTTGTTTAAGTAGGAATCTAAAAATCTATTTAGTTCTCATGCATAAATGCATAAATCACATCACTTTTAGTGCAATGCCTGTTAATGTAAGTCCACATTGTCTAATCATGAAATTATATAAAGACAGATGATAGTTATGAGGGACCAAGGACAGCAAATTTAGAATTTCAGAGCCTGACACCCCAAGGACGAACCCGTGGCAGTAGCTCTGTGGAATGTCACAGTTTTACAAGAACAATACTGTGTATTGAAGGAGTCAACAACACATTGAGCATTCCTAAATTGTTGTCATTCAGCAAACGCCACTGAGGGGAGAAAAGGAAAAAGAAAAGCAAAGACGTCTTACGTAGGAAGTAGAGTCACCAAAGGACCACTATATACAACCTTTGGAAAGAAAGAGACCCAGAAAGAACAAAAGACACTGTGGGGGACTGACAGACAACATGACAACATTTGTGATGAGGATGGGCTGATCTCTGTGTGTGTGTATGTGTGTGTGTGTGTGTGTGTGTGTGTGTGTGTGTGTGTGTGCAGACCTACTATGTAATACCATGAGAAAAGCATGATGTTGCTATCTTGCTCGACAGCATCTGAGAGAGAACTCAGGGGGGCACGTCTAACCGCTTCCCAGCATCTTTGTTGCACGCTGGTTGGCCTCATCAATTCTGGTTTTGTTGGAATCAGCCTGGAAGAAGAGGAAAGAAAACAGAACTCTGGTTAATCCTTAAAATTCTATTCATCCTTCTTGGCCCACTTCAATCGCTGTCTTTTAGGAAAACTCAGCTCAAAATATCTCCCATCCAAAACGATTATCCAGTCCTTGGGTGTCCAGAATCACTGATTAGTCCTCAACTGGATGAAACCATAGCTTCTTAGTTCTTATTTCTTCCACCAGAGAGCATCCTTTTGAGGGCATGATTTTATTATCTATCTTTCTGTCCCTGGATTACCACCTAATGACTTCTGTGTTGTTGCTATTGGGTCCTGTCGAGTCAAGTACGACTCACAGAAACCCCATGGACAATAGCTCTGATCCCTGTTCAATCCTGTGCCATCCTCACATTTCCTGACACACTAGAGCCCATTGCTGAAGTCACTGTGTCAATCCATCTGGCTGACAGTGTTCCTCTCCTTCACTGACCCTCTGCCTTTCCAAGCATCATGTCCTTCTCCAAGGACTAGCCTCTCCTAGCAACATGCCCGAAGTATGTGAGGTGAAGCTTTATCATCTTTGATAAAGTGGACAGAGTTGAATTACCACCATCTTATAGCTGAGTTCAAATCATGGCTAACTTTTTAAGCAGCGTGACTTTGGGGAGATTTACATTTTGAGGTTTCCGTTTTCTCATCTATAAACGAGACAATAAAAATAATATTAATGCACATGACACAAAGGCCGACAGCCTCAGCTAGCAGGTGCACCAACTACTCAACTTGTTACAGAGTCAGAACCGAATGACTCAGGGCCTCCAGTGGGTTTTCCAGAGCTGCTGTACACAGGGTCGCCATGGGTCGCAGGTGGCTTGGTGGCACATAACAACAACAACAACAATGTGTTGTACAGGAGACCGTGTATCTTTCTCCTATGGATCAGCTGGTGGATTTGAACTGCCAAAGCTAGGGCCACCTTTGGGTCAGCAGTGCAGCGCCTTATGGACTATGCCCCGGGAGCTCTTTATTAGGGATGCAGCACTGTTAAATCCTTTTTTTTTTTTCAAGTGAGCAATCCAGGCAGAAATTATTTTTGCAATTTCTCTAAAAGCTACAGCATTAGTAAGAGAGGAAGCTGGGGTCAGAATCCAAGCAGCCTGTTCATCGTTGTATTAACGAGCACGTCACCAGGTCTCCTGGGAGGATAGCATGAGCTTATACACATAACGTGCTGAGAGTAATGTTTTGCACAAACCAAGTGCTGTTATATTGAAATGAATAGTTATGGGGTGACAACCTGTATTTACTTGCTTACTGTAACCTACTCAGTCAGCCCTGGACACAAAGGGGCTTTTGTTGTTGTTTGTTTGTGGACCGCATTTGGTTGGTTCTATCTAGTCACCTAACAAGGCACTCTGTATTAAAACAGTGTCCCACGACTGTCATTAAGAGCTTGTGCTGTGCTGAAGCCCCACTACCGGGGAGGGGAATGGAACCCAAGAGGAAAAGCTTTTAGTCCATGGTTTTGCTTCCAGGAGAAAACCCCCATTTCACTCGTGGGGGTGATTCTGGCTGAATGTTCCCATAGACAAAGCTGGGCCATCTCAGTGGGGAAGCCACACTCCCAGGCTTTTCTCCAGCAACAACTGTACCTTAACATTTGCATCTTAATCTCTTGGATTCCCCACAAGAGCCAGTCAAAGTATAAGATCTTTGGGAACAGGCCAGGCTGTAAAAGTAGATCTTTGGGAACAGGCCAGGCTGTGGGATATCAGAGATTTGGGGACCTTCCTCAGGGCACTATCTGAGTTTCTAAACTGTGCTCCTGAAGACTTGGTTCCATGGTTTTGATAACTGACTTTCATTTGACAGGGGCACATGTATCATCATTTTATGCCTTTAGTAATTTTCTGAAAGAGTTGAACTTTTTCCATCTCCAATGATTTTGTATCTGTAAATACTCATAGGCAGAAAACAAGATTCTTAAATAGATTCCAATAACTTCTTGACAAGCCCTAGGAATGCATTAGAGATCTATTTGTTTTGTCAATATATTTACTAACCCAAGTGAAGGGAAAGGGTCATGGCTAATGGGGATGGGTGAATGTTGGTGCTGGGTCACGGGAGAATCCAGAAGAAACAGTGCAGGATTCTCCTTACTCCTGCAGTGTGATTTCCATCAAACCGTAGATGTGTAGGAGGGCTTTGCACCCTGTCTCCTGTTATCCGAGGCGAGACATTAGAAGAGGAGGAAGGACTATCCTATTAATAGTGCAGCTCCTGTAAAACACGTCATTTAGAGGAACACTGGGTTGAAATGTGCCACATCATAAGTTTTGAAATAGAGGCTGTTTCAAGTGTTGCCTGGAATGGATTTATTATTCAAAGGCCACTAGTCCCTCTATCACTTCTTGAACAATTCATCACTCAAGGAGTGATGCAAACAAGAATGACTGCTTCTCACATCTGACCAGCTTTTAATTAAGCTTTATAAAGTTGTGTATGTTTATGCCTTGCCATAAACTGGGCTCAGAAGAAAAGATTTCCCTAAAAATGAAAAATACAAAGACACAATGACAGAATTAAGTTGCCACTTGCCTTTCTGAGAACATTTTTTCCCACCATGCTTAGTGTCCAATTGTTTCCATGAAAGTTTGACCCCTCCATTAGTAAGACTGCTCTGTCTGGAAGTAATTGTCTATGATGCATTAGCTATCTGTATCTCTGAGTAAATTGGGTCCATTGATAGAAAATGAATACTCCCTGTGGGTTTTTGGTGTTTTTTTTTAAGAATCATTTTCCCGTCGGAAGGCAATTCAACAATTCTCAGTTCATTTTTCTGGTCTGTAATTGGTTAGGTCAGATTGTGTTGACTCCAGGGCTTTTTGAAACTCTCAATATTGTTAAAAAATCCACTGACTTACATGGCTTGAAAAGCTTTAGCATATCAAAGGGCTCTTAACAGTGATATGTGTCACGAGATTTGCAAAAGTAAGCAAAGCCCAAGCATTCTGCCAACCATCAATGACATTTGTGCAGCTCAGTATTGATTAGGCAAAAATATCAGGCTGTCAAATACTTTTAATATGGAGCACAGAGAACATAATAGGGCAAAGTGTTCTCTCTAGGGATACTCATTCCTTTTTGAAGTTAGTGGAGGTGGTTTGGGTGCCAAGACACTAGTTAGCCTTGTAGTTCAAGAAATATCAAAAGCACTCTTCTTTGTTCACCAAAGTGGGACGGGCTGTTAAAAAGAGAGCCAGTATCTTAGGCTCAGAACAGGGAGAAAGGGACAGGATTTCATGCTGCTGTACATGGAAGGTCATTAGGAATCATAGGCCACTCAGAGGCGCCACCAACCACTCAGAAGCATAAGACTGACCAAATAATCTTATTATGCTTCTGTATGTATGTATGTATGTATATATGTCTGTATATGTGTGTGTGTATATATATGTGTGTGTGTATATAAATATCTATAAACATATACAATTACTATTAAACTTATAATTTCTCTTTTGGATTTTAAATATTTTAAGAACTATAAAGCAAAAATTCAAGGCCACAGACACTATATTAGATCTGCAAGGTGTGACATGGCCAATTACGGTACACTAAATCTTTTTATTTAAAACTCTCTATTTTATTTAAAACTTTTCTTCCTTTCTGACCTCGAGAACCCCAAACCTAGTCCTTTCTGTTCCAGTCTCTTCCTTAAGCCTCTTGCTAGCCCCTTAAGGGCCAAGTCTGGTGTCTTTGTTGGAATTCCATTTCCTCGGCTACGAATCCCCTATTTTGCGATTTGCTATTGGTTTGGAAATGAGTCTTTTTACACTACATTAAAGCTGTGTAATGCAAGTATAAAAATAAAAACTCTTTATTTTCATGGTTATTTTTATTTATCAGTTGGAAAGGTTATGTTACCCAGTGTTTGGTCAAATATTAGTCTAGCTGCTGTGATTAAATAGTTGAACAAATCTATTCTGACTTCTGATGACTTCATGTGTTTCAGAGTAGAAGTATGCGCCGTAGCATTTTATTTGGCTATAATATATTGGACTGCAGTATCTTTGGTTGGATTTGAACTGCCAACTCTTGGGTTAGCAGGCAAGCATGGTAAGTAGGACATGTGATTAAATGAGATGGGCTTAAGCAGATTATCGTCTCTAAACTCGCGAGCATCATGTAATCACTTGAGATCGTAATTAAGATATTCCTGTAACGTAAGGATCCTTTCTCCCATTGATTGGCTTGTCATACCATCACTACTTGATCCTTCCCAAGTCACTGTGAACTTGATCTTTTCTGAGATTTCCTACTCCTGACCTCTGAACCATAGCACATTTCACCCGTGACTCTCTTGGGGAATCATATTGTGTTTGGTAGGCACTTTGGTGGCTCAGTGCCTCTTAGAGGTATTTCTTGGCAGGAGGAATTACATCTTTCTCATCACCATAGTGCCTATCTTGACATACAGTGGCCCCTAATTAACATTTGCTACATTAATTCTACGATCTTCACTCAATCTTTTCTCCATCTATCATGATGTTGTTTATTGGTCCAGTGGTAAGAATTTTTGGTTTCTTGGTGTTGAGATGTTATCCATTTTGAAGGCTGTATTCTTTAGAAAGTATAGCCAAAGTGCTCCTTGGAAGCAAAGATGATAAAGTTTTGTCACACATACTTTGAGTATGTTTGCTATGAAAGGCTATTCCTTGGAGAGGGGCATCGTGCTTGGAAAGTCTGAGGGTCAGCAAAGGAGAAGAAGCCCCTCAATCAGGTAGATTGACACAGTGACAACTGCAATGGCTCTGGGGTGTCAGAAAGTGTGAAGACGGCACAAGATAGGACAGGATTCAGATCTGTTGTCTATAAGGTCACTATGGGTTGTTCACGACTGAATGACATTCAAGAACAACAATCTTCACGCAGGCTCTGTTGATGGAGCCTGTGCTTCTGTCTTGGGAAATTTCCAGCTACCTGAGTACCTGAACCCAGTGTCACGGTTTCAGGGACTTTTCGCAGTAAAGAGGTGACAGGCAGCAGTGCTATGCTGGCTTTGGGGCCTTACCTTCTCCATGATCCTGTCGATCTGGCGATTCTGTGTATCTATCTCATTGCCCATATCCAGGGCCATGTGACGGAGGTTTCCAATGATGCCGCTCACCTGCTCCAGGTTTTCATCCATTTCATTTTCTCGGGCATCATTTGTTACCCTGTGGATCAAAGAGAAGTTTTTAGAAGCTATCCACTGTCCTGTGAGTGGATACCAATTTAACAACCATCTATTAGATTTCCGAAGATGTAAATAATTTTAGGGGGAGACCACTCATCTTCCTCTGGTGGATGGACTGGGAGACCATCAGTAGCCTGGCACATCAAGAGCTTCAACACCAGGGCTAGGAAAACACTGGAGCACTAACGACCTAAAACTCGGGAAAATTTTGTAGACTTCTAGGCTCCTTCAATGCCTTTCCTTTTAATGTCCATTGAACACAAGAATGCATTTACTTTTGTACATCAAAATAATAATAAACATTGGATTTCAGAATTCACTTTTGAATTTCATTCTTAGAATTTCTATCCAGTAGGTCAATGTTTCTCATTTCCACCATTGTTTCCCCCTTCATAATTATATCGCCAAGTTTTAATGTTTAAGGGTAAAATGATTTTATTTGGGAAAATTCAAAGCCAGAGAATGAAGATAGAACTAGGTAGAAAATATTTTTTCTCTCTAGATTGTTAACCAAACTCTCCAAGACACAACTTCACAATGAAATAAAAAGCTTATTGTACTAAGTTAGAGAATCTCTTTGTTCATCACTTGGGGTCAACAACATCGAGGAGAGTAATGATAATTATAGTCTATGCCTTAATCCTGCTTGCTCCCCAGAATTCCAAAGAAAGCTACAAGTTCAAGAAGATTATAGCCTGCTAATATTTTAATATCATGGGGTTCTGAGTGACTTGTGAATGGGTGTTTCTGAGGAGGAAATGGTGAGGAGAGATTATTGCTCTAGTTTTAAGTGGCAATAAGTGGAGAGAAAGGAGTTTGTTCTCCAAGTGTCTTAATGATCTTGCCATTCTTCCCACCCCTGCTTGAAAGTTTAAAAATGAAAGGCGCACTAATTGATTAAAAATAATAAGAACTTCTCTCTGGCTAAACATTTTTTTTCATGTACCTATGATATACCTATTTATTGTAGTTCTTGTTAAGTGCTGTCAGTCGAGTGTGACTCATAGTGACTCTATGAATAGAGGATCTGAACTTTGTCCTTTCCGGTGCCAACCTCATCGATTGAGCCCGCTGCAGCAGTCACTGTGTCAATTCATCTGGTTCAGACTCTTCTTCTCTGTCACAGAACCTTCACTTTTCCAAAGCGTGATATCTCTTTCTGAGGACTAGCCTCTCCTAACAACATGCCCAAAGTATATGACATGAAGCTTTGTCATCTTTATCTCCAAAGAGCACTCCTGTTGCACCTTCTCTGAGACCTGTTTGTTTTTTTGCCAGTCCATGGGATATTCAGTACTCTTCTCGAACACCACAGCTCAAAGGCACCAATTATTCTGTCATCTTTACTTACTGTCCAGCTCTCAGATGCACAGCAAGTGAATGAAAAGACCATGGCCTGAATCAGGTGCACCTTAGTCCTTAAACTGACATTGTTGATGTGCACCTTAGGACTTTGGAAAGGTCCCTGACTGCAGACTTTTCCAATGAAATATATCTCCTGATCTAAAGCATATTTAGAGGGGTTAAAATCTACTCTCCCTGCCCCCTGTTACTTCCAAGTGCACACTGGTCCCCTAAGGTGATTAAAGTGGCCTAGATCAGAGAAATGTAAAAATTAAGGGAATTTTCCAGATTTCTCATATGAAAAGCTTATTTAAGTGACTGTAGCAGCTACGGTATACTACCAGAGCCTCAATACAGGTTCCATACAGTATTACTATTTTTAAAAATTATGTTTTAAGTGAAAGTTTTCAAAGCAACACAGTTGCTTAGTAGAAGTATCCCAGAAGCTTTACAAATAAACAAATAAACAAAATATCAAACAGCTGCTAATTCCAGTGAGTTTTATTTAATTGGTATAGATTGATCATAGGCACAGGTATTTAAAAAAAGAAACAATCTCCCTGGGTGATTTTAATGAGTAGCCAATGTTGAGAACCCTTAGCACAGTTTCCCTGGGAACAGGCAGAAGCAGGAACAGAATTATCTCTGTGAGACCACACCTCGTGGATGTGGCTTATCTGTTTGTCAGCTCTAGGGCCGAGGTATTGACAGCTGGACAAACATTACATTAGCCATTGGTGCAGCAGCTTGTTTTAAAACCTATCACAGGAGCATTTAGTTGTCATTATTATTGAGAATTAAGTTCTGGATTGGCTGATCTACATAATTTGCTATTTTTATATATATTTATATTTTGTTTTGCTTCTAAATCTCAAAGCAAATGATGAGTAAGAAGACTATAAGGCTTATTACTATTTGCATCTCAATTCATTCTCCCCGCCTCTTTGTTCTGTAGCCCAATAAAGTGCCTAGTATGTCTATACCAACCGGATTCTTTGACCTTTTTCTTTCCAGCTGGGTTTGGCCAAGGAGTGATGAGAAGGCAAGAGAAATGAGAATTTAGGGCATTTATTTAATGTGTTTGGCCCCTGCGCATATACAGTAGTTCCACTGTTCTATTTTATAGCCCTTCACCCAGTGTCCTAACTGTTGCCAGGCTCTGATAGTAGTAGCTCATTCTCCAGACCCTTCAAGAATATGTGAAACCAGTTTCCTACTCTGGCTAGCCATTAAGTACTTCACTACCACTCTTAGTTTTCAGTTAGTGATTACCCTACAGACATCTGTAAACAGTCTCTTCTTTAATAAGCCCTACTTAAACTTGAGGACCGAGATGTCTGCTTCCTGCTTGTTGATTCTGGGCCTAACCATGTGATTTTGCTCTATCCAGTGGAACTTCAGCAAATACGACACAAGCAGAGGTGTGGTGAATCCTTGTGCAGTGAGACCTGTCCCCTTGGAATGTTGCCACCTTGCTGGAAGCAACCTGTTTGGAGAGAGTTCAGTGGAAAGTAGAGGCCCTTGCTGACAGCCCAGCCAACTAGCAGACTTCTGAGCGAGTCCTCTTCAGTTATGGCTCTCCCAGTTCCATGCAGCCCCAGGCATGAGACAGGAGGAACTACACCAATGCCCAGCCAACATATGCAATAAAATGGTGATTTTAAGGGGAGGAAAAAGGTTGGTTTTAAGTCACTCAGTTTGGGGTGGTTCTTACTCAACAATGAAGAGTGGTGCTGGCTGGGTGAGACTCACCTGCGGATGAAGCCGCCACTGATGGCCATCTGCTCTCGTTCATCCACCACGCGGGCCGGCTGGCTGGCCACCACTCCATCCTGATTGTTGCCCCAGGCTTTTTTGTAAGCATCACTTGATTTAAGCCTATGCAAAAAACAGGGTGAGTGACACAGCCCAGGGAGGAGCGGCGAGCTCCTAACTGCTACCTCTCCGAGCGAAGAACTGAACCAAGCGAATGAGTTTTAACTTGGGGCATCAGAGAATACCGATATATTATAAACCAGACCCAAACGGTTGGCCACCACCATGCCTCAGCTACTCTGCACTTCATTCCCAAGCCAGTCAATTGGTAATGGTTCAAGGCTGCGTCCTTTGCCTGCAGGTTGTGCTTATTTTTCATTATCTTGGTGATTTGTTTGGATTTGTGCCATAGATTAAGGTAGCTGGAGGACAGTGAATTGTATGTCAGTGACATGGTTCGATTCTGACACACAAAACAGCACACACACACAAAGACATACTGGCAGACACACGCACAACAAGACTGCCAAGTAGAGTGTGTTCATCACAGCACAACAACGGACTACCATGAGGAGACACATACTTGACACACCACCATGCAAGGATTGCCTGCTTAAACTTTGTTTCCTGATGTTCAGATGCAGGCAATGCTTCCAACTCTGCATGAAGGACAGAAAGGATTGGTGGTTGGCCAAGGGTAATGGTCTTTGAGTTGCCTCTAGAGGAATTTGAATTAGATAATATATCGGTACTTCCAAACAGTCACCATACATCCAGAGGTGATGTAAAACCTTTGTCCACAGAGACAAAAAGTAAAAGAGGTGTCGTGAAATGAATGCAGGAGAATAGAAGAGAGAATAAGCCATCTAGCACCAGAAAGGGGAACCCTTCTACGTTGTCTTCATGCACCAGCTACAGGCATGAGTAGAAAGTGAAGCATTCTCATTTAAAGCCAAACTACTCCAGAAGTTGACCATTCTCGAAAGGCACTAGCAGGACAGTAATAGCCTTCGTGAGGATTTGAAACGCAGGTTAAATGGTGTCTTTGTCGGGCTGAGGAGCAGGGTGGGGAGTGCTGACATCCTCCTACTTCAGACTACCTTGGGGGGGGGTGGTGACAGGGGGAGTGGTTTGGAATCGGTGTGGTCTCCATGCCATGTCACTGAGCTGCCTTGGAGAGAAACTTAAAATCCAGGCATACTTGCTGTGTCCAACAGAAACATGTGCAGTGTAGCTGGATGGGTGTGCTGTAATTTAAAGCAATCAAAGATGTTTCATTCTTTGCATAGTAGAAACCACAAACTTTTTGGTACAAAAGCAAAAAGATTTCCTTTGGTCTCATTTTCTACTAGAGAACAGTAGAATTTGTCTTTTCTTTGTTTTTCCCCCCTTTCCTTCATTAAAGGGCAACAGTCATCTCTTAGGATTGGTTCTAGAAATTACAGCTTGGGGACCAAGCAAACCTAGAGACAATTTGGAAAATTGTACAAATGGAATTCCAGCAACTCCCATGATCCAATGGTGAATGTCCTAGCCCTTAGAGCAAGGAGAATTTACTATGCTAAAGGGCCCCAGACCCATTCGAGTGAGAAAGGACTCAACTTAAAAATGCATTTAATAAGAGTTTAGAGTCTGGCTTGCTTTTCGCCCCAATGCCCCATACCCTCTTTCCTGAGATTCAAGGAAGTCATATGGATATTGTGATGTTTTCTGCTATGTAAAATGTCTCGGGTACCATCTTTGGCAAATTCCAGGAGGGGTGGGAAAGTATGCGTTTCTAAAAGAAGGCAAATCACTGCACCCACACGCGGTACATAGACTCACATAACCGCCGGGCATCTACCATAGTCCTTGGGAACATGCTGGGACAGGGCAAAGCCCTGACAGAGTCCTGGGCACCACCAGCCACTGCGTTGTGACACATGGTTTTTAAAGCGTTATTTACACACGGTAGGGGGCACACTTCAGTCAACCTTTGAAGCTCAGTTAGGGTCTCTTGTGTATTAAGGAATGAATATTTAGTATTGGTGGGAAGGGGGCGGTCCATCATTTCTTTAAACCGAGGGTATCTCTCCCAGGGGCCCCGCCTCCAGTCTTTCTCCAAACAGGGCTGATGACTGAGGGGAAATAGATTTGTTGGAATTCATTACAAAATGAATTCCTTCACCTGAGGGGAAGCTGCCACAGACAAGAATACACAGTCAATCTTGATTAACTGGAATGTTTGAGGAATGGGTCATTTTGGTCAATGAGACGACTTTCCTGATTAACAGTGGGCCATGGAGGTAAGCTGTGCTTTGTGAGTGACTGCTGGGACAGCTTTGTTAGATCCTCCAGGCATTTTCCCTGCTTTAGGATCTCAGGTTCGTGAATGCCATTGAGTCTGTCTTAGAGACAGAAGGTGGTCAATTCTTGTCCCCTTTTGTTGAGAGTCATAGGAAGATAGAGACTGTGTGAGTGAATAGGTACAAATTAGACAGCCCTGGAAGAAAAATGGTTTTAAATCTAGGATATAATTTTTTTAAATTTTTTTTTCTTCTAGAAATAAATTAGAGGGAAAAGTGTAAATACAGTTGAGGGTTCCAGTTAGCTGGATTCCAGTTGATCAAGGTTTGCTGTACAGCATTGTTTTTTTTTTTAAAAAAAAACGTGATTATTTCTTTGCAAATTGAGCCCCTCCCGCTCCTAAACAGGAAGTGGGATATTTTAGAACAGCCTCAAAGTTTAAAGGATGCGCATGGTCATATCATCAGGGGGAAATGACATCAATTTCTATTCTAAAAGCTGGGATCAGGAAAGCTTCAGGGAAAAGGTTTCTTTTAAAAAGGCGGAAGTAGGTGGGGTGAGGGCGCTAGAGTGACAGGTTTCATTTTCCAAATGCATGTTTGGACAATCTGCTCATGCATTGGGCTTTTTTTTGGGAGGTTGGTTTTGTTTTTCACTGTGAGTCAAATGAGACTGCCTTCCCAGAACCCTCGGTTTCAGGTTCCTTCTGTCGCAAGGCCTTTATAACCACATGTCACATTTTTTCTGCTACATTCCAGGAAAAAAGCATTGCAGAACCTTGAGAACAGTTGGATGTTCTGTGATGTTGGGCATGCAAACTCTACACATTTCAACATTTCGGCCAGTGTACAGGCAGGTCTTCCAAGGGGAAGAATTTGAGGGGAACAGACTCATCACCCCTGGGTCAGGTCCAGCTGCGGCATCTGCCGGCTCATGAATGAGTAGAGTTGGCAACTGGCTCGTGGTCGAAAGGAAGAATCTGCGCCTTATATCCTGACATAGAAACGGTAATGCAGGCCAAATGATCTGATCTGTTTACTTTAGAGAAGCCAAATTCCGACGCATTTCTCTCCTTCCAAACACACCTCCAGCCTTTCCTAAATCTGCAATTTGGGCTCCTGGGGGTGGGAGTAATTGAGTTCCCTGGGCGCCTCCGACTCGATCAAGGCTGGACTCTGTCTCAGGTACACTTTCTGGAAAATGTTGAAATGTTTTGTCAATAAAAGTTGCTGGCAGTGAAGCTTTCACTGTAGTATGCCTGATTTTTTAAATGCATTAACAGTAACTCCCACTAGTATCATCTATGCTATGAAATGAATGCACTGGAGACGGTATTGATCTGTTCTGCATGCCACATGCTCATCCTGTCCATGGGCCTGGCAGGAATGAGCGAGTCAAGGCTTGGAGATGGGCCTTGGAGGAGACCGAAGCTGCAGGCAAGCAGGCAGCACCTACTTGTTACAGGGACACACGCAAAGCCCGCAGAATTTCCCTAGGTCCGTCAGATTCTTTTCTGCTTCTTTCATGTCCTTATTGATTTGGTCCATCCCTTCCTCAATGCGTTCCAGTTGTTCTGATTAAACACAAGTATTTTATCCCCACAGAATGAAGCAGATGGAAAAAGGACAAAGAAAAAAAAGACAAAACTTCAGACATTCACTTTGACATTGAAAAAAAGGAAAAAAAAGAAAAAAAAGAAAAAAGAAAGATCAGAAAAAAAAGAAAACTGGACGCCACAGATCAGAGCTGGTACCCAGTACCTACTTGTTACAAGGACATATGAAAAGGCCACAGCATTTCCCTAAATCTTTTAAATTTTTCTCGGCCTCCTTCATGTCTTGGTTGATATGGTTCATGCCTTCTTCGACACGATCGAGTTGTTCTGGTCAGGACAAAGGGATGACAGTGTGGAATGAATTTTTTTGGGTTTCCAACAGAACATGAGAAATGACTGTGTGAAATGGAATTTGAGAGAGAGAGAGATTACAATGCTTTGTCCGGGAGGGTGCATTGCTCCAGACTGCGGCCGTTGTTCTCCATTTGTATGGACGGAAGGAAATGAACAAAAGTGATGCTCAAAACAGTTGGTAATTCGGACATGATGGGATGGGGTAGGTACACCTGCTTGATTTTGAACGTCCAGGAAGAGAGCAGAGAGTATTCACTTACTCAGAAACCAATGAGACTCCAGAGAAAGAAAAACAAGTTGTTAGTTTACGTTTCAGCATTTCAGCTTAACACCCCGAAAGTGACTTATCACCTTCAATTCAGAAGGAGCTTAAACTTTTGGCTGTTAGCATTGTCACCAAGCTAAGGTCACTCAATGAATGCCTTTTCTCCTTTGAGTAAGGCAATAAAACCTCAAATTAGCAGCAACATTAGTCAAGGGTATCAGATCTTTTTTTCCTTCCCTTAGTAGTAGTGGCCATCTAATTAAAGGCAGCCATGACCAGTTCTTATGGAGAATGTTTACGTTGTTGTTGTTTTGTGCCATCTGTTTGCCACTGACCCCCAGCTGCCTCTTCAGTGGGTTTTCAGAGCCAGCAAATCACAGGGGAGGAGACTGCCCATCCTTCCCCCACAGGGCAGCTGGTGGAGCAAATTCACACTAAAGATAAAAAGAAACAAGTCTCAATCCCTGTTTTTGAGAGCATTCTTCCCCTGTGTGCCTTTGGGGTTGCAACACAGCCTCTTACCACTAGGCTGCCTCATGGAAGTGGTACATAAAACATCAGTACAGCAATATTGTACATACTAAAAGAACAAAACAAAAACCAACTCATTGGCCTCCAGGGAGAACGGACTCATAGCTGACCCTCCCCGGGGGTTTTCAGATCAAATAGGAGGCGACTGCCTATCTTTCTCACTCAGAGCAGTAGGTGGAGTCTGCCAACCCTGTAGGGACAAGAGCACCAGGGCTCCAGTTAAAGGCATTTGAGTTCTAACTAGTGGAGCATTTGAATTAATTTCTCTGCCTAAGGCTCAGTTGCCATGAGTGATTGGAAGGTGAAGCTGATGTAACTTCGGGGCGTCTCTGATGGGGGCATGCTCGATGCCATGCCAGGTGCAGAGCAGTGAACATGAAAGCCCGGAGGGAGGCCTGATGGATTGGAACATGATACGATACTGCCGGGAAAGCAGACGTTATAGCACAGCTAAGACAGATCCATAGTCACACAAGAGAACTGTACTGATGGGTTGCCAGGGTTACATACACTAAATTTTTCAAAAGTTGTGTCACTAGATGGAGGTGGCTATAAGTTCGTTCACTGAAGATATGTTAAAATTGCTTTTAAGACAATTAAAGAAAAACACCTGTAGGATATCTTAGCCGTCTAATTACAAAAGCTAATTCCTAGTCCTTTCATTTATATTTTCATGCATGCAGGTTTGGACCTCTGGGAATAAGACATGATTTGAATAAAACTAGTAAATAAATCCCCAGCCTCAAGGAAAAAAAAATAATAATAATCACTTAAAAACAAAACAATTTCACTTCTAATTATATAACGGAAACTGGTATTCTGAAAAACAAGGATGGGTTCACTTACTGCATCCTCCTTTGAAAGACTAAAGAATAGGACTGAGGTATTAGGAACCTGATAGTCTTTAGATGGAGGAGAGTGAAAACAAAAATTTTAAAACAACAGCTTGGCCTCACTGGAGGAAACAGTGTAGTGTTCTTGAACTTGTGCTAATAATACAAGACCAATGGACTCTAGTGTGTCAGGATGTGTAAGGATGGCATAGGCTAGGGCAGGATTCAGATATATTCACAGGGTCGCTATGGGTCCTACTTGACAGCACCTAACAAAAACAACAATAATTCCTTTTAAAGGGTTTGTTTTTTAAAAGGATGATGACTATTTCCATTTCAGAAAGCTGTTTCTATTTTTCTAAGTAAATGCAGTAAATTTGTTTGTCAATAAAGTCTACTTGAGTGAGTGAATTCGTGGAAGGAAAGGAACTCAAAATCATGAAATGAAGAACTACGATAAGCCCATACAGGAATTGCTGGCTCCAGAATCATGGCACCACCATGTTCAAAGGCATGAAGCACTGTTGGTTCTATACTGCCCTCCTGGGAGGTTGTAGATTGGACCTCTGGTCCATACACAGGGTGTTCAAGTTCATGGGCCTGTTTTTATAAAGTATATCTACAGGCCTTTTCCCCCCTTTTCTTTCTAGGTCTGTGTTGGCCTCGAAGTTTCACTGACACTTGCTTAGCATCAGAGCAACACGCAAGCCTCTGGTGACAGATTGCACATAATTCTCACTGGCTGCAGATTCAACTCAATCTAAGTTTGTCCCTCAGCTAACAGGGTTGAAATAGGTGTGAAGGTCCCTGTTCAGTTATCCACCCTCCAGAGTAGAATCAAAAAGTAGGTTGATAAGACTGCAGCCAAGATACAAATTAGATAAAAGTTCAGGAATCTTGTCCACTGTGTCTCCAGGGATTGACAGGTTTTTATATAATGTGATAACTAGTCCACAAGAATTGGACACATAGCTAGAGAATTCACATAAAAGATAAAAATAAACAAATGGGCCCCCATCCCTATTTTTGAGAACAGGGTTCTGTCATGAACTTGACTGGCAAATTGGAGCTAAAATGGAAATTCTGAAGCCATATCAGAACAGTTATTTCAGAAAGCTGTGTTTTACCTAGTGGAGCTCTGGTGGCCTACTGGTAAAGAGCTGTGTTGAGAACTCAAAGGTATGCAATCTGAATCCACCAGCTGCTCATGGGAGAAAGGTAAACAATCTCCTGTGTGATTTTACAGCCTCTGAAAATCTGCCGGAGGGTTAGCTATGAGTGAGTTCCATCTCAATGACACATAACAACGACAACAAACAACAACTTATTAGACCTACCAGTATCAGGTGAATGGCTCTTTTATACACAATTAGAAATCAAAGTTTAATTTTTAAAAATCTTGTTGTCATTTTGTCATGAACATTTTACCAATGTCATTGATTATTTAGAGTGTACTGGATTATGTGGTTGTGTTCCATAGATCGGAAATTCCAGCAGTCAGGGACTTCTGTGAAGACATTCCTACAGAAATGCTGGGGGAGCAACCAACATAGCGCCTCTCGTTTGGGTTGGATGCACCCCTGGGGTGACTGCTGATATACCCCACGGTGACTGCTCCTTACCTGCCTAAGCTTGATTTCTGGATGTTTTGTGTTTATTCCTGAAACCAGGCAGAATAATATCTGGGGTTCAGAAAGTTGAGAAGGGCCTTCCCAGAAGATTACAGATTATACATGTTGGGGCAAAAGGTTGAGTCTTGTCATCACGATTTATGGATGTGCTATTACTTGTGGTAGAACGACCAGTGACAGGATCCCCAGGGATCAAAGCTTAGAATTCTATCACTTTTTTTTTTAAATCTAGGAGTTAGGCAACCTGGGACCTAGAATGCTAAATATGGTTTTTAAAAAGAAAATTGGGGGAGGGGGGATGAGGAGGGAGGAAACTGCAACAATGAAATAATCTTCTTAAAGAGAAAAGTGAACTGGGGAGGTAGGGAAGGAAAATGTGCAACAGTGAATGAATGGAAATGCAAGTTTTCTGTAAAACTTTCGTTAAAGTACCAATAAAAAGAAAAAAAAATCTGTAAGATAGCAAGATATCCACGCTATCGACTTATAGAGTGCACGCCTTCATGATAGAATCTGTGAGATCGAATTCAAGATGTTGCCTATGTGATTTTCTTTTCCTTAGCAATCAGTGATGAATATAGATATTTCTTTAAATCCAATTAAACTGGCAGATGTGGCTAGTGGCTACCATGTTGGATGATGCAGCCTTCATAATCATATATGTATATAAAACTTCAGCAAGTGGGATGTTTACTCACATGCTGCCTTGTAGTGTAAAGAGTCTGTAAAAAATCCACTGGTGTGCGTGATGGGGATTTGTGTTGCCTTTGCTCTGCTAGGCAGGGGTCAAAGACTTCAGTGTTTCGTTTGGAGATGACTCCAGGAGATTTTTTCCGAAAGTCCTATCTTCAGCATCAAAGTAGACACTATAAAGTAGTAGTAAGTCAGCAGAGAGCAGCAAAGGAATAAGGGATACAGAGGTGTAAAAGGTTAAACCATGCCACCCTAGTGTCAAGATTTTTTCATGGGGATTTTTCTTGGAGCAAGATGTCTAAGGGAATAAAAGTCCCAGGGTTCAGCACATTTCCAGGGCTGTGTGTCATGCAGAGAACACCTTGCTGTCTCCTGATACCTGAATAGAAAGCAAGAATCCCATAAGGAATTTCCAAGTGTGACTGGTTAGCCAGCCCCCTGCAGCAGCCTGGCCTGACCCAATACAATAGTGGCTAAAACGGTTCTTTAGAAGAACGAATTACTTTTTGAGACTCCTATGTGGCTATTGGGGAGAAATAGTCAATACTTTCGGTGCTCAAACACAGTGGGAAAAAACGAGCAGGATATAATAACTGAAAAGTAATTTTGAAGTGGTTACTGAGCTAGACAATTACACATGACGTACATTAGAATGAAAATGCATTTACAATGGCCTAGGATGATGGCTTTTGACTTATGCTCACCTGTCATTTTAAAAGGCCCTAATCTCACTCTATAATAGAAATAGAATGCAAATCGGTTAAGAATAGGCCGAGTCCATCTATTTTGGGGAGTTTTACAACTGCATGTCTCTCATCCGCATGAATCTATTTATCATGTAAAAGCTAGGCTTAGGAATATGTTAAACCAAGGAATTCAGCATTTAATGTGGCATTACTGCAGGAGAAATGTTTTAGCTGAGAACATTAACTGTCTAGTGGAAAAATCTGGGGAACTGATGCTGTTTTTCAAGAACAGTAACAGCTTCTAAGCATTATTTGTGCATAAGAAAGAAATGATTTTTTAATTTGTGTTGGATTTAATAAAAAAAAAATATTTTTTCCCCTCAGAAAAATACTATTTGAATGCCAAGCAAAAATGCACTTTTTCTTTGACTCCAAGTTTATATATATTTTTCATGTCTTCATGCTAATATTTATATTTAAAAGAAAGGAAAGACATGATTCTCTGTCTTTCCTGAACTCTTTCCACATGCAAATTATTAAATAAAAGGTTAACATGTGGGACTGCTAATTAGTATATGTGTTCCATAATTATAATATTATATAACTAATAGTGTTAATTACTATTTAATAATGAATCACTATTATGCAATTATTACCTGTGCATATTATCATTTTTGCTCTAGATTTAAGATACCATGCTCTGTACTAATATCTACTACTAAAAAAACCCAAACAATACCCCCCCAAAAAAGTAATAACTTGCTACATTTTGAGTTTTGAAATTGTTAAATAGACCAAGTCATCAAGTCTCTTAATTACACAAATTCACTTTGGAGTTCTGAAGACTGCTCCACAAATTGTAATTCCTTTAAAATACAAATAATGTATACGAACTTTGTAAGTAAACCAGTGTAAAAGAATTAAAAAAAAATTAAAAAAATACAACTCCCCTAGACTTGATTTTTTGACATTATTTCTTTTGGCAATTTCTATTTCAAAATTTGAGGAAAAGGGTTGGGACTGAGGTCCAATTGTGTGCGTATGTGCGTGTTTAAATTCTGACTATACTGAAATACATTTCATATTTATTATTGACCTATTGTTATGTGTACAATTGATTAATTATAACTTAGCATTATTTATCTTGATTATACTGTATTATTATTACCACCATCTAATTCCAAATTGTCTCATTATCCTTAACAGAAATTTAGTGCCCACGAAGTAATAATCGTCCACCTCCCCTTTCCACACTCCTGGAAACCATCTAGGTCTCTATCTAATTGCCTATTCTGGGTATTTCGTATAAATTAGGTCATTATATTAGTTTTCATTTGGTATCTAACCTATTTCATTCAGTATAAAGCTTTCAAGGCTCCGAGATGCTGTATCATGGATCTGAACTTTGTTTTTCTTTGTAGGTAAATAACATCCCTTAATTAACAGTAGTTGAGTCTCTGGATGAGGCGAAGGTTAAAATGCTCAGCTGCTATCTGCAAGGTGAAAGGTTTGCGCCCACTTCACATACACCTTAGAAGAAAGTAATGGTGATTTAATTCCAAAACACCAGCCTTCATAACTCCGGCAGTGCACAGTGCCAGTCTGACACACATGGGGTCTTTTGACTCTGAATCAAGTTGATCCCAACCAATAATCGGTTGTTGGCTTACTCACAGTAAATTACGAAAAGGTAGAAATAACTCAAGTGTCTATCATAATATAGATGGTATCACATAAAGACACTAGCAAATTAGAGTGGCATTTACTTCCTAAATAACATGCCTCCAGAAACTCTATGAGCTTTGATAAATGTCGATATTTGTAGAAGGGCATCAGGCCTTTTGTTCATAGCATCGCTAAGAATTGTGCTCAACTCAAAGGCAATCAACAACAACAACAACATATCTACACAACTGGTTGTTGTTGTTTTTTTTAAAAAAAACATTTCTTGATTTATTTATTCCTAAGGGAGTTTCACAGCCAATCCAAAGGTAAGGCTTGTTGTTGTTCGGTGCTGTCGGGTCGAGTATGACTCATAGTGACCTGTGATGGACAACAGATCTGAAGGCTGTCCTATCCTGTACCATTCTCATCATCTCTGAGACACTTGAGCCCACTGCTGTGGTCACCACATCAATCCATCTCATTGACGGTCTCCCTCTCTTCTGCTGATTCTCTACCTTTCCATGCATGATGTCCCTCTCCAAGGAATAGCCTCTCCTAACAACATCCCCAGAGTATGAGGGATGAAGCTTTGTCATCTTTGGCAAACCCAAAGGCGGGCAGTTAATTCACCAGCTGCTCTGAGAAAGATGGGTGATTTACTGCCTCTGAAAACTCACTGGAGGGTCAGTTATAAGTTGATTTTGACTTGACAGCAATGAGTCAATTTTACTGAAAATTATTTAATACTGAAAATAAGCATAAAAATAAAAGGCTGTAAAGGACAACAATGGAAATGAGAGCTCAGATCTCCTTTAGTTGCTGAGAGGTGTGTGGGTAGCTAAGGCTTCCATGCTGTATCCTTAGATCGTCTGAGTTGTTAACATTGAGGTCATGCCCCCCCCAGGATGTTCTAGCCAATGGTGGAGCACAGTGGGGTCACAGAGCTCAGGTATTTATGCCCAACATACACCTCCTCGAATGAGTAGACTGTTCTGGAGCTTTCCATTGGCCTGACTCAGACTTCCTCAGACTGTACTGCAGTCTAAGCCTCATCCTACTCAATCTCCTTTCACAGTGTTTGGCCTACATTGTGATTTGAAGGCTTTTCCTCCCTTCTTGAGCTATTATTACAAATGTTCTTCCCATGAAATTTCTTACACTGCTAATTCCTTCTTGGCATTTGCTTCTTAGAAGACTCAAACTGTTATACCCTTTTCAGTCCCTCCCTGCCCCTGCCTCAATTCTCTTGAAGTCAGTGAATTTATTATTCATTTACCGTAATGGTTTCAGAATAGAAGTACTCCTCGACTTACTACTGAGTTCTGGTCTCATGACATCATTGTAAAAGTGATCTTAAGGAGAATACATTTTTTAAAAAAATATCATTATTATTATTATTAATATTATTATTATTATCTCTTCTTGTCAGTATCTTTAGAAATATCTTTGTCTTTGAGGATTGCCTGGAGAATAATAACATCAACAAATTATGTGCTACAACACTGTATGTAGTACACAAGACAGGAAAAAGACCCCAAACCAACAAATTTTAAGTGTAATTCTTCCTCTTATGGTCCTACCATAATTAATTTAGTTGGCCTCCTGACTGACAGACATTTAGAATATTTCCAGTTTTATACTATTACAGATAAAGACATGCTCATAGTTCTTTGTGCAATTGTAAATGTGTATCAGTTGTATAAAACTGTAGGGGCAGAACATTCTGGTCAAAAATGCATGTACTTCAAAATAAAAAAAAATATCACGTCATTCTTTAAAACATTTGCACCAGTCATTAATAACACTCGGCTGTAGAATGTCAGTCCTCGTTTCTCCACACACTAATAAGTTTTTACAAATTTTGCCAGCCGGCTACAGAAAAAGAGGGATCTCAATATTGTTTTAACTTTTTTAGATTCTGAGTGAGGCAGAAGCATAATTTCATGTATTTGTTCAGAAAAGGATTGTTTTTACTCTATGGCCATTTCCCTTTGTGAGATGCTGCTCTTTTCCTTGATGATTTGTAGGGACTCTCAATTTCAGGGGGTAAGTGCCCTCTGTGTGTTATCCATATGATAATATTCCTTCCAGACTAAGGTTTATGTTTAGACTCTGTGACACCTCAGGCTGTGAATATATTTTCTGCTTCTATTTTGTACATAATAATCTCTCAAAGTTCTGAAGGATTTTCTAGCACTTGTATAAAAAATATAAAAGAGAAATATTTTATCAAAAGTCTACTTACAAGAGATCAGAACAGAAACAAGGGAAAAATTTGTGGCTAGAATTTAGAAAACGCTGCCATATGGCTAGATATATTGAGACAAAATAGAAAACTGTTGTGTCCTTCTAAGATATGGATTCAGGATACAGAGATGTCAAAGTGAGCATTAACATTGCTTCTAATGTTATAAAATACCACTACTAATAATCTATTTTAATGAAATAATAATAGAAACATAATTTTTAAAAAATATTTCAACCAGTTCAGTTTTCCATTTTGCATGTGATCTCTTCTGGTCATATCCTGTTAAAAATGGCTTCCAGTTATTTAAAAGATATTCATAATAAATTGGAAAGGTAGATAATGCTAAAAGTTGCTAGATAATGAATTAAGACAGTCAAAAGAAATGGACAACATGATATACTGCTAGAAATTATCTGAATGAAAGTAAATTTATGGAAAAGGTTAGTGGCAAAGAGAATAAGAGAACTCTGACATTGCTTAAGACACTGTATTACAAAAGAATTACCAAAAAGTAGCTGTTGACTTAACACTAACAAATGAAGAGTAATGACTTTCTTTCCACTTTCAATTCTTTGTCATACATTTTTTTTAATCAATCTTTTCAACAGGAAGAGGGGAAAAGCAAGATAAAAATTTGAGAACACATACTAACACTCATGTTAAAACCTGCATTTGCAAAAACAATTTTTTCAGGTGCACTTAATTCAGACATGGAATAGTTCTTACTGAAGAAATCTGAACTTACCTCCTTGTTCATCCAACATAACCAAAGTCCTGATACCAGCATCTTTACTCTACATCCCAATAACGGTAGCAAAGGTGAAAAGGAGTTAGAGAGAGAAAAGAGAGAAAGAGACATCAGTAAACAGGACAATTAGCCCTAGAAATGGAAAATAAAGGCAGACCCAAGGGAAGAAACATGGTCAGAGCACTGAGGAGCTGGGAAGGGACTCAGAAGATCATGAATTGACTCAACTGGTGACTCTTCCAGAGGAAAGAAGTACAAATTCCCAACCCTGTCTCCATGGAGGGAAGTTGGGACCAGAGTTTACATGGAACTTGAAAACACATACTTACTGTGGTCTTTAAAATTAAAATTTGTTATAATTAGGGAGAGCTCTGGTGCCTTAGTGGCAAGAAGGTGTACTGCAATCCCAGAGGTGCACGGTTCAAATCCACCAGATGCTCTGCTGGAGAAGGAGGAACAATCTTCCTGTACCAGTCAGATCTGATTTGACGGTACACACACACACACACACACACACACACACACACACACAATAAAAAAATTTGTTATAATTAAAATTTGGAAAATAAAAATGCCTATTGTTGTAGTTGTGAACCGTAGAGTCAGAACTGACTCACAGCTGACCCTCCAGCAGGTTTTCAGAGGCAGTAAATCACATGGGAGGAGACTGTCCATCCTTCTCCCTCGGAGCAGCTGGTGGATTCAAACTGTGTTCCTTTGTGACTGCAACACAGCTTCTTACCACTAGGCCACCAGAGCTCCCTAAAAATGACCATAGTGTTCCTAATGCAGCTGCTTCACCATCTCCTGGAATAAATCTTCTCTGGTGTGATATATCAGACTCTCCACCCCTGAGATGGAAGGGATGCTCTGCTGGGGAGATATTTAAGACTCTGAGATGGGGAGATAAGACTTTGAGATTATAAGAAATGAATGTGGCTCTCACAGAGGTTGAGAAACACCACTTAAAGGGACATGGGCACGTTTTCTGAGGAAAAAACTCTAAGACAAAGGAAATGGATTGACTGATGAGAAATGCTATTGTTGTTCTGTGCATCTGAGTCAGAAATGACACATAGTTGACCCTCCAGTGGGATTTCAGAGGCAATACATAAAGTGCACGGGAGGAGCCTGCCCATCTTTCTCCCTTCAAGCAATCATATGCCTTTGAGTTGGCAATGTAACTCTTACCACTAGGCCATCACAGCTCCTCAGATGAGAAATAGGGGCTCTCTACTCTGAAATTTAAGTTACCATGTAATGGTAGTAGAAAACAAAATCATTCCTCCATAAGCTTTGCTCCTGATGTGTCAGGCAAGAGAAATCCTTTTTAAAAACTCACTTTTTATAAAATTCTTTATTGCCAAAGAAGTAGAAAGTCTTGTGAGGAGGGAAGAGGAGATGATGGATGTGGGGAAGGTGTTTCTGTTCCTTCAGCACTGCTCATATCTAGGAATCAACACCACAATCAAAACTCTTGGTACCAGCAGCCATGAAATAGAAAGATGAATTGCATTGGGGAAATCTGCTGTCAGGGACCTCTCTAGAGAACTGAAGAGCAATGATACCAGTCTGGAGACTAGGGCGTGCCTGATCCAGGCCATTGTCTTCACAATTACTTGCTATGCACCAGAAAGCTGGACAATGATTAGAGACGACAGAAGGAAAATTGATGCCTTTGATTTGTGATGCTGGAGAAGAGTATTGAATATACTATGGACTGCTAGGAGAACAAACAGGCTCCTCCTGAAGAGAGTGAAACCAGGCTGCTCCTTGGAGGTAAGGATTCTGAAGCTCTGTCTGATATACTTTGGGCATGTTGCAAGGAGTTATCAGTCCTTGGAGGGCGACACCATGCTTGGAAGGGTGGTGGGACAATGCAAGAGAGGAAAACCTTAGATAAGGGGAATTGACTTGATGATTGGGGTAATGGGGGTGAGTGTATTGGAGACAGTAAGGTTGGCTCAGGATAGACCTGTTGTCCATAGGGTCACTATGAGTCCCAAGCATGTAACAACAACAAGAAGGTTAAGATGATAGTTAATGCTAAGTAAAGATCTTCCCTTTTATAAGCACATATCAATAAGCATAAAATGGAATTGGTTAGTCTGGATTAGCCATTTTTTTCAAGGAAAATTCATGGCACAGTCCAGAACAAATTCTAAAATAAGGTATCTTCCATAGCCCCATTTATTTCCCACTTGGAACTTTATGCTTTGAACCAGGAAAGAGAGCAAAAGATATTCTTTTAAGCAATAGTTTGAAACTAAATTCCAATCATGTTTGTAATTACTGAAAGAGAACACTGACAATGAGTTCTGTAACCTTTTATAAAGGGACTTCTTCAGAAAATGTTGCGGTATTGCAAAACTCGTCTGTGGCTTACAGGGTGAGGACCAGAGACAGCTTCTGTAGTTACTACTCAGTGTGGACTCTGGAGGCAGGTGACCCGAGCTGTAATTGTGCTGGTTTCATTTCCTGGCTGTGGCATCTCAGAGGATTGCTCTGAGCCTCGGTTCTCTCATTTGCAATATAGAAATAATAATAGCATATACTTGATGGGCTGGTACGTGGATTAAGTAAACCTGGATAATGTACTAGGGTGCTGGTTCCTGGCCTAGAGCAAGCATTTCATGTTGATAAAGTCAATAGATCTAGCAAGGCACTGATAGCAGGATACTGAGACAGAAAGATAAAATTTAAGAAAAGCATTACCAATGATAGAAAGTTCTAGATCACTACTTCTGAATCTTTCATGTGCATATGAATATCTCGAGACTCCTGAGTGTCTGCATTTCTAACAAATTCTCAGATGCTGCTGCTTCTGCTGATATTGAACCTCATATAAACTAGGAAGATTCTAGACTAGAAAGGCAATTTAATTTTTTTTTCTTAAGCAGGACTTATGACTAGGGATGATAGAAAGAGATCTGATGCTTTCGAGCTGTAGTGCTCCAAAGTGTAGTATTGACGATACCGTGGACTCCCAGGAGAACAAACAGGTTCATCCTGAAGAGAGTGAAATCAGGCTGCTCCTTGGAGGCAAGGATTCTGAAGCTTCGTCTGACCTACTTTGGACATGTTGCAAGGCTAGACCAGTCCTTGGAGAGGGACATAGTGCTTGGGAAGGTGGAGGGACAGCACAGGAGAGGAAGACCCTCGATGAGATGGATTGATTTAGTGACTGGGGAAATGGGGGGTAAGCGTGCCAGAGATTATAAGGTTGGCAAAAGACAGAGCATGGTTGTTATGAGTCACAAGCGACTCGACGGCACAGAACAAAACAAGGCCTTAACTGTACTTTCTACTTTCTAAGATGGAGGAGGACTGGGCAGAGTTCATAGGGTTCATAGTTCATAGGGTCACCATGAGCGAACCAAGGACACCTGACAACAACAACAGCAGCAGATCAAAATCAAACCCAAATCCACTGCCTTGGAGTCAACGCTGACTCATGGAGACCCTCCATTACGCTTCTCAGAGTACAAATCTTAATGTGAGCAGACTGATATTTTTCTGAAAGAATGGCTGTGGGTTTGAACTGATGACCTTCTGTTTAGCAGCTCAATATGCTACCAGGGCATTAGACTGGGTGAAGGGGAAATGGGTTATTAGCACAGTAACACTAAGGTAAAGAAAGACAGAGAGATAGATGCACATGAGTTACAGGCCACAAAAAGAAATATTATTACATCTACAATCTGGCACTATCGGTAACAACAGACAGTAATCAATGAGTGGACACATTGGCTGACAGGCAAGATGAACAGTAGTGCACAGGTAAATGAGACTAAATCTCAGACCATATAGGTTTTGCAAATTATGTTTCTATGCTGCAAACAGATCCATGTACATAGAAGAGCAGACAAGAGGCAAAGTCGTGAAAAGGCCTTAGTTTTTGTGAGAGGGTATAAACAAAGGCCTTGAAGGAAGAACTGGCCTGAGAGCTGTACGCATTGTCTTGGAGGACATCAGTGTCTACGGACATACTACAATTTGCAAAGACAATGTTCTACATTCTACTTTGTTGAGTAACAGCTTAGGTCTTAAAAATCCATGAATGGCAATGTAAGGTGTAACTATTGGTTCGGAGTAAAGACATGAAAGTTTTAGTACAAAGAAGTACAGAAAACCGAGGCTCAGTTTCCATGATCCTGTGTCTAGAATGACACAGTGCCCGGCTCCCACTGCTGACCGCTGGGAGAGGAAGCCCATAGAAAATGCCTAGAGAATGGGGACGTGGGTATCAAACTCAAAGTCATAAAAGAAGGTGAGGCTTATGGGCTTGGGAGAGACTGGTGGAGCCTCCAAGACTATGGTTTTAAAATCACCTGGTCATCCTCAAAGCTCAGCTTTCTGTCAAACAGCAGAAAAGCCTAGAAGGTGATCCGTAACAGGAAGACAGGCACTTTCCTTATACAATGAAAACCAATGGTCAAAGGCAGCACTGCCCAGGAGAAGGCTCTGAAGGTGGGAGGGAATAGGAAGGAAAGACGATGGAACAAGGAAACTCCATGAAGAGGGAAAAGGCTGTGACAACGGGGGACTGTAGCCAACATCTCAAAATGTGTACGAATTCTGAAAACCGAATTCGTAAACTTTCACTCACATTACAATAAAAAGTAAAAAAAAAAATAAAATGCAAAATAGAAAAAAAATATAGATGTAAGATTTCATCTGAGTGGAATTCCAACCAGTTTAGAGAGAGCACTTTGTTGGTTTCCTTACATCCTTTGTGATACCCTCAAAGAAAAAAGTATTTAGAAGTTACTTAATGGTAAGGAGTTGCACTGCCAAGCCAAAGGTTCATGGTTCGAATCCACCAGCAGCAACAGGGAAAAAGGTGGACAACTTCTTCCCATGTGATTTACTGTCTCAGACACCTGCTGGCTGTTTGGACTTGATGGTATATAACAACAGTGTAAGAAGAGTTAGGCATCAGATCTAAGATTAAGATTCACTCTTATGAATCAGATAGATTTTTTCCACTTCATCTGTGTATCCCAACGAAGATAATTAACTACTCTGTACTCAATTCCACCCATG